GTGCTTGTATGAATCATCCCTCAGTGAACCAATATTACTATAGGGGACACACAAATCACACCACTGTTGAGCAGTTGTGTTTTTTCACAGTGTTCCCCATTAAGAACAGCAGTGCCGTACTCAGTCTTCTTGTTCTTTGTTCCACATTAAGAAGGGCCAAGACATTCTCAGTCTTCTTTTTCGCTTGGCATTATCTCTTGGCACCACCTGAAAGAAACTTGCTATTTCCAGCTCCATTTTTGAGGGTTTAAAACAAAAAAACCTTGCAGCCTATTTGCTCTGTCAAACGAAACTGTTATTTGCAATAAATTCCATGGGCAACTTTTATTACAGCATATTGTTTGCAGCACCGTGATTACACTCTGTCAGAATTTCTGTTATAAATTTTATTTTATTGCAATTTATCGCTCAGTGGTGTAAAGGGCCGACTGTGTTGAAGATTCTTTGATAGGCCGCAACCCCATACGGTATTTTAATGTAAAATACAACCCAATATTACTTTATATTTTCTGTCTTCTGAATACGTGCCAACGAATCTTCACGACTTCCTGCCAAATAGGTTCACTGCAATCCAGTTTATATAAAGCTGAGACGTGTGCCTGTGTATTCCCAGCTGGGTGGGGAAGCCAGTTAAGGTGTAGTGGTTAAGAGCGCGAACTCTAATCCACACACAGCCGGGGTGACCTTTGGTCAGTCACAAATTCTTTCAGAGCTGTTCTCTCATAAGCAATTCTCGAAAGAGCTCTCTCATCCCCATCTACCTCACAGGGTGTCTGTTGTGGGGAGGGGGAGGGAAAGGAGACTGGAAGCCGCTCTGAGACCCTGAGTGAAAGGCGAGGTATAAATCCAATCTCCTCCTCCTCCTCCTCCTTCTGTATACATGGGAGCACCACAATTCTGTAGCCCAACTTCAAAGCCACAGCCAAATTCCCTATTGATTGGGACCAATGGCATACATCCAGACTGGGCCTGTTCCACTTCCTCCTCCTGCTGCAGCCCACTATGTCCAACAAAATGTCATTCGGGGGGGGGGCACTGGTGGGCCCTCAAGAACAGAGTATTGGGTAAAGTGGAGTCTGCAGTGGGAAGGGGGAATCAGCGGAAGTCAGCATCCGATGGAATACACGCCACTGAGTCTTGTCCAATGGAAAAGAACTGTGAATGAAAGGAATCCATAGTTTCCAACTCTAGAAGCATGCCAGGTTTTGATGTTGCTGTAAATACTTTCTTTTCACTCAGAAGCTAAAAAACAGAAGTACTTTGGGGGAATGATATTTAGAACTTTTGCTTGTGTTGAAATGCGTGTTCTGCAATCCAGCCTGCCCTTTAATAAAACTCCTTTGATTAATCAATTAAATTTTATTCCTTGCCTTTACGAAGTTCAGGACAGTCTCACCTTATACACATTAAATGTAATATCCGTGTCCATCCCTTCAAAATATTTGCCCAAGACACACATGAATCCTACATGCACATATAAAATCATAGAATCATAGAATGTTAGAGTTGGAAGGGACCTTGCAGGTCATCTAGTCCAACCCCCTGCACTCAAATGATCAAATCAAATGATATGTACAAAGAAACTGGCCCTGATAAAGTTTTTTTTTTAATCCCCAAAGGGATATTTTTATTTTTGCAATGAACTACAAAACTACAAAGAAAATATTGGGGAGGGAACTACATCTAGGGATAAAGAATAGATAACCACACTATACTAAAACCCCAAGAGGAGGAGATCCTATCCCTCTTAGTGTAAGTGTTAATACTATAAGTGTTAGTATCACAATATACTTGTGGAGTTCTTGTTTATCTCAGCTTCAATGTTTATATGTTAATTTGTTAGTTGTTATGAGAGAGCTTTCTGATCATCTTCTTTTGCTTCACTTAGAAACTGGCCCTGATAAAGTTGTGCTTCACTGTCATGTCCCTTCGTGGCCCTTTCTACCACCACCACTTACAAAGCAGGTTCAGTATCTCCAGACAACTAAATCCAGGGCTTTAGGCACACCTCCCCATTCGCCAGCCCAGGTGCACACACACACCCCCGAACACCTAGATCGGGGTGTACCCCACCGGCCGGCTGGCTGGCCAGACCAGGCACACCCCAAACTGCTAGCTCGCCAACCAGTATAGCAGGGGTGTCAAACTCATTTGTTATGAGGGCCGTATCTGACGTAAATGAGACCTTGTTGGGCCGGGCCATGTGTGTCATAAAACGTAATGCCAGGTAGCTGAGATATAAACTTTATAAAGGTCACAAACAGAAAAGGGGGGGGTATTTAAAATAAAAACATGCTTAAAGCATTAGCACTCTTGCAATATTTTGTTTATATAACACTGTCTGATAACTGACACCTCTTGCTCTGAATTATTGCATCAAAATGTCTGTGCTGTGGCAATCCTGAGTATTCTGTTCAGGCGTGTATCTGTAAGCTGCAGACCTACGATGATGCAGCAGCAGCAGAACTGGAGGAAGACACAGAAGACAGCCAGTCCCACTGCGGGCCTGAGAGAAGCCCTCCGGGGGGGGCTGATGCGGCCCCTGGGCTGCATGTTTGACACCTCTGCAGTAGAGGCACACACGAAGCCGCCAGCTGGCTCTGGTGATTTGGGCAATGCTGGCGCTGTAGGCGCACACTTGTGCTACCTGTTTTTGGTGACTCGGGTGCCCTCTGCCCTCTGGCACCCTAGTGGATGGGCCACCTCTGTCTAACAACAATTAACTAACAACTAAACATTAATCAGTTACTGAACTCTCAGACAATATCTCACAAAAAAACATCAGTACAGTCGATCAAAAGTAGAAATCATCCATTCTTTAAAGACTATAGTAAGGGGGTTTTGTTTTCAGGGTTTTTTGTTTTGTTTTGTTTTGTTTTGCTAAAAGAAAAGTCTTTCCAAACACATAGCTACAGCAGGACATCTCGGGGGCAGGCTTACTACTGAGGCCTCCTGGATTCCCATCCAGCCGGTTTATTTTATTTTTCTTGCGCACCACAGCCATGCTGTGCCAAGCTGTCACTCTGCCCTGCCCACCAGCAGGCACCCAAAAAGTGATTAACACATGGAATTCACTGCCACAGGAGGTGGCGGAGGCTACAAGCATGGACAGCTTCAAGTGGGAACCGGATAAACATCTGGAGCAGAGTTCCCTCAGTGGCTATTAGCCACAAGGTATAGATAGGGGCTCTCAGTCTGGGGCAAGTGACGCTCTGTATTCTTGGTGCTTGGGGGGGGGGGTCAACAGTGGGAGGGCTTCTAGTGTCCTGGCCCCACTGCTGGACCTCCTGATGGCACCTGGTATTTTTGGCCACTGTGTGACAGAGTGTTGGACTGGATGGGCCACTGGCCTGATCCAACATTGGCTTCTCTTATGTTCTTATGTTCTTACCTCTGGCTGGCTGCGTCTGCTCCCTACTCCAGCCCTCTCCCTCCCTTGTCGCTTTTTTTTAAAAACTTCCAATATCTTGTTGCTCCTGACACAGTGCCCCCTGACTTGTTGCCTCCTGACACAGTGCCCCCCCCACTCCTGACACAGTGCCCCCTGACTTTTTTAAATGCCCCCTGAAGTCAAAAATCCCGGCTACGGCCCTGAGTCTTTCTGAGTAAATACTAAGACAGAGACTTTAATCAGCCACCTGCTAAAGGAAGTCTGGGGGAGCTGGCTGTGATAAAGCAGTGCTTCACTGCCGCGTCCCTCAGCCACAGAAAATTCACAGGGGACTTTGCATAGCCTCTTTTCCTTTGGAAGCGTGGTTCCTGGAGATTTAGGGGACACACTTGTAGCACTTGGTTTGCTTTTCGAGTGTTCAAGGGGCGAAGAGGAAAGGAACAAGAGGCACACAAGCAGCCACCACAGGCAGCCATAGTCCAAAGGCAGACTGAGAAGCAGGAGAGTGGCCTTCAAACGTCCACAGAAAGTAATACTGGGGACCCCATTTTCAAATGGCGGATTATGTAACAGATTATGACCGCACCAGTATTGCAGCCTGGATTCTTTCATTATCATTCTATGCTGCTCTGAGAGAAGGAAACCAAAGGCTTAAAATATACAAAGGAGGATCCGGCCTCAGTCACTGGCCAGAGAACTGAGGGCTTCTTTCGACTCATACTCCTTTTCTCCCAGGGAGAACATCAGCAAGGGGACATCGATAGTGGTGAGCTTAGCCCTCCACCAGAAGATGAGCAACTGCAAGAAGTCTGCTTCTCCCATTTGCCCTTAAAGAGATGCAGCTGACCTGTGGCTTCTGGACCATACCGCCCAACTTTTCACCCATTAAATTAGGACCATGCTTGTAATTTTCCAGTTATCAATAGGCATGCGGAGAGCTTCAACATGAACATGATCACCAAGCAAAGTCCCTTGATTGCAAGTGAGGTGAGCTCCTCATTGGATCACCTCAATGTTCCCTGCAAAGTTTATGTTGCCAAAATTCCCTGCCGAATGGCTTTGTGCCTGGCAGTAGCCACGCATGCTGCGGGGCTTGGTGACTAATGGTGCAAGCCAGAGTAGAATGCACCATAAAGTTTATTTATTTAGAACATTTTTTAGAAAATGTACATGCCTCCTCTCCAGACACCTGCTTGTGGTGGCTTAGACGGTGTTCAAGTCATTGACTGATAATCTCCAGGGAATCTGAATTCTGCTTCCCAGAAGGAGGAGGAGGAGGAAGAGGAGGAGGAGATTGGATTTATACCCCGCCCTTCACTCCGAGTTTCAGAGCGGCTTACAAACTCCTTTCCCTTCCCCTCCCCACAACAGGTGAGGTAGACGGGGCTGAGAGAGCTCTTTCCAGAACTGTCCTTGAGAGAACAGCTCTGACAGAACTATGGCTTGCCCAGGGTCATCCAGCAGCTGCAAGTGGAGGAGTGGGGAATCAAACCTGGTTCTCCCAGATTAGAGTCCACGCATTTAACCACTACACCAAGCTGGCTCATGCTACGTCAACTATTTCACAATTCTATAGGTCACTGTTTCCTTTTCTATGTTTGTCTTTCAGGATCACCACCACGGCTGCGTGCATGATGGATCTACGCAGATACCCTCTGGATGAACAAAACTGCACACTGGAAATTGAAAGCTGTAAGTTTTCTCACCATCCTAAATTCAACATTTTACATCAGTTATGTAAACAATACACCAGAACAGAATTTATGGTGGATAAGACAAGTAGGGTTGGTAAACTCCATTTGGGGCCCGGAGATCTCCCAGAATTACAGGGAATCAGAGTATATAGATCAGTTCCCCTGGAGAAAATGGCTGCTTTAGATGGCACTGAACCTCTGTCCCTCCCCTCTCTTAGTCTATGGCACTGAACCTCTGTCCCTCCCCTCTCAAACTCCACCCACCACCAGCTCCACCCCCCAAATCTACAGGTATTTCCCAACTTGGAGTTTCCACCCCAATGGACAAGTTATGTGGTATACTAGAGTTGCAGACCAGAATGTCGGTAGCTTGGCAGTTCAAGACCCTAGTGCCACATGACAAAGTGAGCTCCCATCTCTGGCCCCAGCTCCTGCCAACCTAGCAGTTCGAAAGCAAGAAATTGCATGTAGATAAATAGGTACCGCTTTGGTGGGAAGGTAACAGCGTTCCATGTGCCTCAGCGTTTAGTCATGCCAGCCACATGACCACAGAGAAGTCTTCGGACATGGTGGCTCTTCGGCTTGGAAACGGAGATGAGCACCACCCCATAAAGTTGGATACGACTGGCTTTTGAGCAAGGGAAACCTTTACCTTTAAAGCCAGTGTACCATGCAGTTTTCAGTGTTGAATAACACCTGTATAAATTTGTGGGACTTCTCCAGAGGTCATTTCGGGGGGGAACGCGGGGGAACGCAGTTCCCCCGGGTGAGGTGCAGGGGGGCGGGGCACATGATGAAGCCCCGCCCCCTGCTTCCGGCCGCCCCGCTTCCAGCCCTTATTCAGCCAGGAGGAGGCAGGAGAAGAGGGAGGGTAAGTTGCTTCCCCCCCGCCGCTCCCCACCCCTGCCTGCCTGGGGCCAAGGAGGGCCTTCCTCGCACTCCCGCTGGCCTTGCAGGTCCACCGCCGGGCCCCTGATGTCAGGGTGTGTGTCTTATGCTAATGAGTTATGCTAATGAGTTCCCCTAGCTCTTTTTCTACGAAATGACCCCTGGACTTCTCTAATATGTTGATTCATCTGTTAGGGCCAATTTTACATTGCAGTCCTAAGCTGAGTTACAACCTTCTACACTCATTGATGCTAACAGACCTAAAAAGGTATAATTCAGTTTGAAATTGCACTGTGAATCGGTGAAGACAATTTTTCAGAGGTGGGACTAAGAATTAAAGGCATACCTGGTGTGGTTTTTGGGGGGGGGTTATAAGGATGTCTTGGCTCTGCTGCGTTCCTGTTAGAGGAAATGAAAAAGAATATTAAAGACAGCCTTTTCCTTTTAGCAGTGTGTTCTGTTTCTTCCACTGTAAACTGTCTCTCAATTGTGTCTGTATCTCAGAAAAGCATCTACTTTGAGGCTTTGATGAGATAACGAAAGTATTTAACTTTAATTAGCTGATAGAGGAAAAGGCAAATGGCTATTCAATTAAACTCTCTATAGCCAATTGAGAGTCCTAATAGCTGTTAATTAACAAGCAGGCCATAAAATCGCATGGGTGCAGGAGGGACAGAGAATCCCAGGCTTTTCCCCAGTCCCACTTACCACCATCCCATACAACCACACACTGCCCTCACACCCAGAGGAGACAAGGTGGCTTCATTTAGCGTTGCCAGCCACCTAGGTCCGGCCGGGTGTTCCCCCGTTTCTGGGGTCTTCAATTCACCCCTGGCCAGCTTTAAAGGTTCTTTTTGTGAGGGGGGGGTATGTGGCGCACAGGGCTGTGGGAAATGGCCAGGTGGGTGGTCTCCCCCCAAATCTCCCCACCAGAGCAACACGGGAACCCAGCAACCCTAGCCTCATCACACGCCCTGTCCGATGTAAGCAACAGCTTTAGTGATGAATATGATGAGGGAAGCGATCTCATTCATCCCTTACCCTCCTCAATCATGGGAGCTATTTTCCCAAGCACAGAACGACCCATCCCTGCCTCCCGTTCCCTGAAAACTACCACAGCCTCCAACTCTGAGAATGAGATATAGAAACATAAACCAGTTAGTTTCTAACTAGGTGGTTGTTTTATTTTATTCAGTTACAACATTTTTATCCTGGCCTTTCTGCCCAGTCAGGACCACCAAAGCAAGTCTAGATGTACTTATAGAACAGCTGACATTCAAACAACCGTTAGGATAGAAGTTGCAGGGAAGCCACGTGCTAGGGTTGCCAAGTGGATTTTCGCCGGGAGCGTGGGGCTCCTGGCCGGTGTCAGTTGCACGCGCCACATGCACGTCACCCAGAAGTGATGTGATGACGCCAGGCACGCTGGGGGCGGGGTCACGGCCATACAAGGGAAAACCATAGAGTTGGTGGGTGATGCGCACGTCGGGGAGGAGTTCCCCCCGGGGCCCAATCTGGCGGCGGCGGGGAACGGGCCTCTGGGGCGGGGGTTTCCCCGCCCCCCCAGGGGGACTTGGGAAGCCTACCATGTGCTGACCATCAGTGTCCATGCATATGCATTCATAGGTGCTCTAAACAGAGTTGCCCGCCCCACCAGCCACTGGCAGGAGATGGGGGGAGTTAAGGTTTCCAGATCCAGGTTGGGAAACTCCTGGAGATTTGGGAGTGGAGCCTAGGGAGGACAAGGACCTCAGTGGGGTACATTGCCATAAAGTCCACCCTCCAAAGCAGCCATTTTCTCCAGGGGAGCTTACCTCTGTAGTCTGGAGATGAGCTGGAGATCCCCAGGTCCCACCTAGAGACTGACATCCCTGGTTATAAATACAGCTGCCCTTTCCTTTTTCAAAGATTTTATAGAGATTTGGAGAAGACAAATCTGAAAAATGGCAACTGGTAACTCTCACTAACAACAAAAAACATCCTCAAAATTGATCCAAATGACAAAATAAGGATGAGGACAATTTACCAAGCACAAATGCTGTCCGAGAGGGAATGGCCCTGGTAAATAAGACCCATTAGAGCATACGTGATGTGTATCTTGCGTGCCTGGAATTGCTTCAGCTTCCTAGCCTTTTGTGCACTATTACCAACCACTATCAGTTACTATCAAATATAGAACATCAGTTTCTGAATACTGATCGGCAATTATACAACATTAAATGTCTTATTTTGAGCATGGAATGGATGACACTGCAAAATTTGGTTGTGGGAAGAATAGAAAATGTCTTATTAAGGCATCTATGTTTTCCACCAATGAAGAAAATAGTCTACTGCTGTATTTTCTCTTCTCTGTAGAGAGATACAACCTTAATTGAATATAGTGTGAGAACAAAACAGGTGTCAATTTTAAGAGGAATCAGAAGGAATCAATAGCAGAAACATATTCCGGTAGATCTTCTCAGAGTTTTGGTGCTGGAAAGGGAGGCAAAACCCAGCAGTTGCATTCATATAAGCACCTTCATGTTGGAAAAAAAAAATGTGTCAGAGGATATTTATCTGAGCAGATCTTTAGAGTCCCTGTTTAAGACAGGGATGGTATTGATTGCATATTCCAGCACACAAGACAGGAATGTGCACTTTGGGTTGTATGAGTTTTTGTTAAGGCTGTGCAATTCAGATTTTAAAAGTATTTGGAGTCTACTGAATAATGATGTCTTTGGAATATTCTGAATATTTTGAAATCTGAACCTTATCATTTCAGACAGGGCTATTTTTGGGCAGGAACGCACAGGAACGGAGTTCCGGCTGGCTCCCAAGTTGGCAACGCCCAGCAGGAACTCATTAGCATAATAGGCCACACCCAACAGCAGAAACTCATTAGGATTGGCTATATTAGGGGTGTGTAACCTAACATGCAAAGGAGTTCCTGCTACAAAAAAAAGCCCTGGGTTTTGACAACAAACAAGGTAAAGAGAATAAGAAGCAAAAGGTGGGTGTGGCTGGATGACCACACTTCTGGTAACGTGGGGGTACGGCCTAATGTGCTAATGAGTGGTGCTGTCAGGGTGTGGCCTAATATGCTAACGGGTTTCTGCTATTGGGTGTGGCCTATTATGCTAATGAGTTCCTGCTGGGCTTTTTCTACAAAAAAAGCCCTGATTTCAGATATTTGGAATCTCAGAAGCACTTATAGAATGATGGCTGGGCTGCTTGGGAAATGAGAGTGAAACGTACTACCTGAGATAGTCTGGGTGGTGGGGCAGAGTCATGAATGTCCTCTGTTTGGTGTTGACAGTTTTTCCAAGGGAGGGAGGGACCGAAGTGAGAGCAAAGCCTGTCTATACTTATGGAATCACAAAACAGGCACACAGAGTGGAAAGTACTTCCACATTGGTCCTTCCCAACTGATAGGTGGACATACTGTCTTTATCAGTTCCCCCTGCTGCTCCCTGATCATTCGCTGTTCATGAATGTTCCGCACGCTGCAACAGTCTCCCTTTCCAAGCACCTCAGCCTACATTGGAGTCCCACTCTACCCTTTATTTATTTGTTGAATTCCATCCTACCCCGCCTTTCTCCTCAATGGGGACCCAAAGGGGCTTACATCATTCTCCTCTCCTATATTTTATCCTCACAACAATCTTGTGCAGTAGGTTAGGTTGTCAGAGTATGACTGGCCCCAGCTCCCCCCCCCCCCCCGAGCTTCCATGACACAAGTGAGGATTTGAACCTTCGTCTTCCAGGTACTACTCTGCCACTCTTATTCACTGCACCACGTTGACTCTCCTTTAGGGTACATATTAATGTAATGGTCAGGAACAAGAGTTAGGATTAGTAGATTAACTGCTGGACTCCGCCGAGATGCCCTTTGAATAGGAGGGAGCTGAATGGTCCAATCCCTACTGATAGGGCAGGGCATGTCACACTTCCACTTCCTGCCTCCTCCTCCTGCCCCTTGGCTTCTTCCAACTGCTGGTCCAGGACAGTGCTGCACACGTCACTGTGCTGTTCCCAGTGCTTTCGTGGTGACAGCCAGTATGGTGTAGTGGTTAGAGTGTCTGACTAGGATCCAAGAGACCCAGGTTTGAATCCCCACTCTGCCATGAAAGC